ATTTCTTTCCACTAGATCAGGAAAAACCAATTTTGCATTCAAAAACCATTCAAAATAGCTATGTGTTCATTTTACATTTAAAATGGATTCAATAAGCTTATTTTGCATTTTTACATTTTAAATACACTTTTATAAAGTATTTTACAATTAGAATTTTTAATGGAATTTGAAAGGCACTCAAATCCTTGGTCAAGGAAATATGATCATTATTTTGCTACTGCATTCAAAATGTAGCATTGTTTTTTAACTATAAAGTTTGACAATAAAGTTTTTGGTCTGCAGTAATAAATAAACATAGACATCTCAGATAACAATATGTTATATTTTATCTTTCAAAGTATTGTAGTTTTCCATGACATCAATACACTTCGCACGTCTATGATACCAAGTCTCGATACATTTATTAAAACCCATAATTGGAATATTTTTCGGAGCATTTACCATATTCTTGTAAATATTCTCGATATCTAGAAAATATTTATCTTTTATAATGTTTTTATTGAGTTTTGCAAACTATAAGAAATGTGAAAAAGTCAGATCCGACGAATAAGGTAGATATAATTTCAACCTTTGTCTTGTCCAAAAAGTTTGCTGTATGACAACTCTCTTGTGCACTAGAAAATTATCGTGAAACAGTTTCGATATGATCAAAGAATATATCATGCCTTTATAAGTTGTTCTAAAAATATTTTTGCATATTATTTGCACATATATACCTACTCATCATTTATTTATTGTATGTAAATTGATTAAAAAATAGTTTTAAATAAATCTTTATAATTAAAAGAAAGTGAAAATGTGTTCTATAGAATGATTAGCAAAAAGAATATCATCAAGAAGTTTATATAAATATCTAAATTCTTTATCTATAGTATATCACGAGGATAAAGAAGAAAATAACTTTGAATGATTGATTTTTGCTCATCTAATGCTGTCTTACATATATTCTACTGCATTTTATGAATTAATTTATACATATACCTTTATATGGCTTTAAATGCCATTAAGATAAAATGGAAAATAACTTCATGATTAATTTACTTATACAAAACTACTATACACAATGCGTATTTGTCTAAAATTTGGTAATTAGTTTACATGTTGTTAGTACAAAAAGTAAAATAAAATTTTCTATATAATTATTTTAACATTATTATATTATACAAATTTAAATCTAATTCTTACGCAATAGAAAAACATTGTCATCTGTTACGCAAATATGTAAATATAAAAAAAAGAATGTGATTATTAATTATAATTCATAGACGTGTAATAATTATTGACTGATAATTTATGAGAAGAAAAACATATATTTTTATGTCAATTTGTGTACGACGGCTTTTTTTTTAATGCACCTAGTGAGCACTAGTCCAGCCAAGATAAATTAGAAATGTATATAGATGATTCAAATATGGAATGAAACTTTTTTGTGTAAATACAAGTCAACATTGATAGATGCTCTGATTATGAA